CGTCGGCCATGCCTTGAGCATAGGCCTTTTCATCGGCCTCTTTAACCTCGGCCTCTTTGGTAGCCAGAGCCTGCTGGAGTTCTTTCTCCGCTTGAGCCTTCCTAGCCTCAGCATCTCTTTTCTCGGCTTCAGCTACTTTTTTAATGGCTTCGGCAGCTTCGGCCTTCTCAAGAGCTAAAGTTTGGACTTTCGTTGCAGCCTCGGCCTGATCCTCCAGTTTTTTCATTTTTACTTCAAGGGCCCTTATTTCTCTCTTCATTGAAGTTGCTTCCCTCTTCATATCAACCAATCTTTGACGATTCTCAAAGGATTGCATTGAAAATGAATGGGCATGTTGGATAGCCTGAATGAAAGCAGAAGTGTCAGAAAATTTTCCCAAAAAGAAACAGAAGGAAAAAACACAAGTACAAACAGAAATACTTACTTGAGCGGAGTGTTGGAGCATAAGAGCATAATTTTCATACTCACTAAGCTTGCCATTTCGCTCCAAGTCATTTGGTAGAAGAAGAGCAGTGCCAAGGGCGACAGCAACATTAATGTCGTCAGCACTTTCACTAGCCATAATGGGCCTATCCTCCAGGGATAGATCAGGGGCCCAAGGGACGTCGGGCTTCTTTGACGCCGAGGTCGTCGCAGACGATGACCTTGGCCTCTTTGTTTGTGTAGACCTTGAGGGTTGACCCTCAGCAGACCTCTTGGTGGAGACAGAGGCTGATTTCCTGGTTTCTGCCAGCTTTGAAATAGGCACAGTATCCTCAGCTTCGGCATCTGTAGCCTTGGCCTTAGGCTGAGCCTTTTTAACTCTCTTTGGTTTGGGTGGGAGCATTGATTGCGTAGGTGCGGCTTCGGCGTCAGTTGGAAGGTCGGCAAGAAGGTCTTGGACGACAGGCCTTGGACGAACCATTTCGGCAGTCTTTACTAGCCTTCGTCGGCGTTTACGTTCAGGAACTGGTATTAAGTAGGGGGCCGAAGTTGATGGAAGATCGGCTGGGTCAGACGTGGACTCTTGATCTGTTCGGGATGTAGAAGCAGTCAAGGTTGTGGCTGTGGGTGGAGAAAGACTCTTCTTCCTTTTTCTTGGGACGTCGGGTAAAGTGGATTTGTATGTAGGGATGAAGTTTAGTAACAGTGGGGCTTTTCGTTTATGAATTGGAAGGTTAAGGAGTGTTTTTAGATCTGTTCCTGGGAAGAAGGATTGACGAAAATTTTTCGGTGGCTGACGAAGATCTGCAGGACAAAGAAACAGGCGTCAGAAACAAAAAAAAATATATTAAAGACTTAAATAAAAACAATTAAGTGTTGACTCAGGGCTCTTACTCTTGCCCTCTGTAATTGTTCGAGGAAGAGGGTAGAGGTGGACATCTTCATCTGGGCCGAATTCCCAATTTCCAGAAGCAATGAGAAAATCATCTCCAGCCCCCTTGTTGGAGTCTGGGAGGTCGGCTACGATTTTGTACTGAGTAGGTAGTCATCTACCGCACCCTTATTTGAGTCTGGAATGTCGATTATCATTTTGTACTGGGTGGATCTCGGCTTGAGGTAATAGACAAAACCCCTATCCTTCAGATCAAGAGGGCACGTGGTATAACAATATTGAAGGTCGGCTAGGGTGATTCTAAGGTTTTCTTGCCTAGCTAAGGATATAATACCGTTAATTACCCTATAAGAATTGATGGTAAGTTGCATGGGGTTCAGCTTATAGAAATGGAGAACTTGACGAAAAAGGGGATCAAGTGGGAGCCGAAGTCCACATTCAGTAAAAGCAACTATTGGAAAAGGCATTGTGTGGTCTGTGGGCACGATGGTATCATTATTCCCAGCCAGCTTAAGATGAACGTCGGCTGGGATAGAGAATTCCTGCCTAAAGTATTCAAGTTTTGTTGGGGTATTTACCCTATGCCTCCACATACCCATTATGTCGGCTTAAACTAAGAAGAATATATTTTAGAAGATGGGCGTTTTTCAGGTTTTCCTAAAGATTAAGGGTTCTACAGACAAATCCCAAATCTATGAACTATGAAGATAACGATCGAGGGCACAGATCTGGGGCAGATACAAAAAAGAGAGAAAACAAAAACGACGTTTCAGATTCAAGAATAGAGGTATAGTTCTCAGAAACAATAGAGATACAGAAACAAATCAAGAACAGCGGTAAAGAGAATGATGAAATAGCATAGAAGTCCAAGGTATAGCCACAAATTCAAGATACGAGTAAATCCAAGACCTCGAACAAGATCAATAATGGCAAACAGACAGACAAAAGCACATAAAGAGAATGAAAGAATTAAAGGAAAGGGTCTTACCAGGACAAATGAAGCCGAAGCAATGCTCGCCGAACCCAGAAACCAGTTGCAACAACAAAGAGGGCTTTTGCAAGAATGAGGGATTAAAAGCAGTTCCAGAAGAAAGTTTGAAGCAATGGCGGATTCGAAGAAGAAAAAGCTTTCAGAGAGAGAGAGAACAAGAAGACAGAATGAAAAAGTGAAGGAAAAGAAGAGGCAAAAAAGAGTTTTGTCAAAAATTTGAAACGGCGGCAAAAATAGGGCAATTATTGTGCCTAGAGCAACGCACGCGTCAGACGGCGCAGACGAATGAACAGACAGCTTCAAGCGCGTCACTGACACGCTCCAATAAAGACGAAACACGTAAAAGAAACAGTTAGATATGCATGACAGCTTATGCGCGTGGGAGAGTACGACCGAAGCCTTGTTCTCCGAAGAGAACACGTCGGCTGAAAGTAGATAATCTGGGCCAAATAGTTTTTGAGCCATTACTCAGAAAAGAAGTGACAAAATTTCGGAATAGGTTCCATCACCTCAAAATGCCGAGGTAATAGAACCTAGGGGGCAGTTGTGGGGATATATTTTCTGAATACCAACACGTGGCATGGTGACGCCGACGTGTCAGCCGAGGTGCCACGTGCCTTGGTAGTTAAGCCGAGGTAATCTCGGAGAAGCCGAGGTCATCTCCGAAGATATCGGAATCCGAGATAAGGGACAAGAATCCTGAGACAAAGAGGGGACTTAATTAAGATAAGGATGAAGCTCTTGGGGAGTTTATCTCTATCTCCTAAAGAGTCCAAAGTAAGCACTAAAATTGGAGTTCATAGAAGTCATAATTCAAATGGGACTTGGAGTGAGTATATTATAAAAGAGAGGCACCCCCGTGGGTCTAAGGTATGCAATTTATGTTTTGAGTATTCAGTTTAATACTTGATTTATCTTTGAGAGATATACTGACTTGATCGTCGGAGTGCCCCCGGGTGGAAGAACCACCGCCGGAGCTTTTTCTTTCTGTTTCAGGTTGCTAAAGCCATCTATTCTGCCTGATCTGTTCGGGATGTAGAAGCAGTTAAAGTTGTAGCCGTGGGTGGAGAAAGGCTCTTCTTCCTTTTTCTTGGGACGTCGGGTAAAGTGGATTTATATGTAGGGATGAAGTTTAGTAACAGTGGGGCTTTTCGTTTATGGATTGGAAGGTTAAGGAGTGTTTTCAGATCTGTTCCTGGGAAGAAGGATTGACGAAAATTTTTCGGTGGCTGATGAAGATCTGCAAAGAAACAGACGTCAGGCACATAGCCTCATGGCAAGCATGCGAAATATGGCAATATGACAATCACACTCATGCAAGTATGCTAAAGCATAAAACTTACCTAGTACTTCAAGCCAAAAAAACGAGTTAGAAAGATGCATGATCCTAACTATAGAAGATGACTAATGCAACACATGCAATATGAAATTAAATAGGCTCGGCTACTTAATCATGGTATTTGCAACACTTTGATAACATACTTTGAAACACGTATTCAAAGAAGTATTGAAATACAA